TCAGTGCGCAGAGTACATTACCTCTGGAAAAAAGCCGCTCTGCCTTGATATGTGTTTGGCACGCCTTTGAGCCCCGCGGTGCCATGGTTGAAATAGGGCCTATTAAGGCACTAATAATATTGATGCTCAATTTTATCTAGGACTTGAGCAGTCTTGAGATAGTTTATGATTGGTACAGTAAAAGAGTGTGAAGAGTGAGTGTATAGATAGTATGCATACAGATAGAGGAAAATTGCTAGAATTAATATGTTGAATAGTATAACTTGCATGTCTTTAGTATAAATTTATCATCGATATATAATAGTAAACGGCTCGGGTAATACTAGAAGTTATACCATATAATATTAGTGCTATTGCTCTGGCGTGCAAAGACGAGACATGTTTGTTACGAGTAGATGTGTTTTTGTGGTGTGTTTGCTGTGCTTTGTTTTGTATGTGTATGGACTGGCCATGTAGCTACTGCTTATAGAAGAAAGCGAAATATCATGCATAACTCTGTGATGCGGTTCTCTCGTGTAGCTCCGTTGTGCTGTTAATATCATATACATTAGTGATATAATAATAATATAAAGTTTGAATATATTAGCTCTTAATATATATATATATATATATACTATGTTATGATGATGTAATAATAGATGATGCAATCTTATATATAATTGAATAGATATATAGTATGAATAAGTGGACGCATTTTCTCATATTATAATAGTGTTACACTTTAATTCGAATATAAGACTAAGCTTATTTTTATTGATTCTTAAAATAAATAGCTAGATGAATAGTATAAGTATAGATATATAATATAATCAATAGATAGACTTACTCTCAAATATATAGAATGAATACTAATTGTAATTGGGTAAGATAGGTTGAATAGACTAAATTTTGATTATGTATATGATAATCTAATAATAGTTGGTTAATATTTTACTAAGTATTAGAAGGTAATATATAGAATGTAATTAGATATATAATTAAGTTCACATATAATATTTATTAATTGTGAATCTTAAAGTAGCAATTAAATAAGTATGATTACTTGCTATAGGACTGTATTTATGTTGATGCTCGAGTAATTTAATGGAAAAGAGTACAGTTTTTGTGTGTGTATTGGTTAGACGATATTTGTTTTGGGGGATCTCAGATGAATTTCGATAAAATCATGATTTGAGCTTGTAACCGTGAAGGTTACACTGTTGATGCAGAGCACTGATGCACCTGAAATACTACTGAAACTGTAATAAACATGCTTCTTGACAGATGGATCGAGGAGGATTTGGCATATGCGTAGAATATGTGAAGTTTAGAGACTTTGTCATGCAATTCATTAAGTCAGGCTTCAGTGTTTTGGAATTTTGCATTTAACAAGAGGGAATATTTTTTTTACTGCATTTCTACGGCAGACGTCATTATTTGTAAACTTTAGATATGTTTAAAATATAGATACTCAATTTGAATTTCTCAGAAATTTCGAAAATGCCTTACCGTCAGGTGTTTCTAAGATGCGTAACAGATATTATTAATGATAATTGCCATAACATTGTATCAAAAATATAAAGGATAGGATTTCTAGCCATAGTATAATTGATCTATCATTACAAATAAGGAAAATCGACTAAAATCACGCAATTGTAAATTCTAATAGATAGACGTCAACGACAATAGACGCGAAAACCATGATACAAAATATAGGCTCCGAAACCCAAACAAAATAAGTTTGAAGTGTCTTTTGGACTCTTAGATTTTGCAAAACACTTTTCTTTCCATCATTCACACTCTCTGAAAGGTTTCGAAGACCCTTGGCTGTTTGTTGACGTCTGCTTCATGGCTACCGAGATATGACAAGAGCAATTGAAGTGACACAAAAATGAAGAAGACTGTGTTTCTAACGCTTTTATCTGCCGCAGTAGTGGCCGCTTTCCCAGAGCAAGGGATTTGGCATCTTTCAACATCAAAGGTGAGGATAATTACTCCATTACTAAGCTCAGTTCCCAATCTATAATCAGGATTTTTCCGCTCAATCAGGCTACGTGTCTAACACAGCGCGTAATTATATTTTTCAGTAGTTGAGTTCATGTAATCAATAAATGAAGGAGAGACGACCATTAGAGAAAGACAAGGCTTAGATCGAGTGGAGGACAGGAAAAATTATTTTATGACGGAAGTAAAGATACCCAACATTGGCAAATCTCCAACTACAAAAATGCCATTTGTGGAAGCTGATTATCATCAAGGTTCTCACAATGCTGATGAATTTTAAAAGTAACACTATGTAGAGATGGTGAAGAACTAAAGTAATGAACAATGAGAACACATAAATTAAATCAAACATCTTAACACTTGTATAATATTGATGATCTGTACACACCAGAGGAGGGAAAATTAAAGATGATATTCTTATCGAGGACTCAAAGTTGTAGTTGTTAGCAAAAGAAATAATCTGCAGGTAAAAATGGTAAAAATATTGCAGACAGTGATGCATACAACCTGAGTCCACAAGGTGCTCACAAGTTTCAGCCATATCTGGCCATGCGTGTTAGGTAAAGACAACGTTTGCCGGGGGGTGTTTTGGGTAGAACCCTCCATCAACCCTCCCCTGGGCCAATGCCTGAAGGGTACACTCAGTCACAGCAACTGAGAATATTGAATAAATTTTGTGACATGGAGTTGGGGATACAGTCTTTAGTGAGTGCATCTGTATAGTAAAGAATTACCCAACACTTTTATCAAGCTAGATTGATCCTCTAAGCTTCTTTGGCAGAGCACTTTCATGTAATAAAGTATCCCAAGCTCCATATTGTTATTTTGTGTGTGGTAAAGGTTAAATTGATTTTGCTTGAGCACAGGAGTGGAGACTGCCATGTTAGAGGTTCTTGGTCTTGCATGGATCCTGTCATAGGATCTTTCCATAGGAGATCAAGAATTAATTTAGTTCTTATTGTTGTTTCGTGAACCAGTCGAAAGGTAAAGGAGAGACGTGGAGATCGGGCAACATTGAAAGACGTGTGTCCCCTGAAGATTTTTTTTATTCGGAGGCGCATATTTATTTGCGCGGATGTATAAAGGAATTGTGGTTGTTTGTGTTTGATGTCATGCGTTGATAGTTTTGTTGATTCTAGTGTGGATTGCACGCAATTTGCATGATCTTAAAGTTAAACTGGGCGCTTTTAAAGTAACCTTTGGTTCTCTTTAAATCTCTACACAAAGAAGTGACTTTGCCAAAGTCGGTACGTCAGAGACACATACTTTCCTTCTTTTCTTCTGCAACTTTTATTGACGAGACAGTACACCCAAGTCCGAGAATCTTCTTAATCACAGGTGGTAATGAATGTTAAACTTTTTGGTCATGGTGGAAGCTTCAATGCATACTAATTTATATAATGTTTATAGACTAATCAAGTTAAGACAGTTTTCATATAGAAATAAGACATTTGCCCCTTATAGTAGCGTAGGATAATATCTTTACTTCCTCAATCAATCCGCTCCAGGGATGACATTCGTTGAAGGGATTTTGATCAACTCATGACCAGGACATGCTATGTCGCCTAGGAAATATATATTCAATCTTATACATAATCTTGTCCGGATTTGTTCGCACTTCTGAGTGCTCGCTTTTTTGACAGGAAACCATTTGACTCCGTGAGCGGATCAGTGGGAATATGGTATATAGGTGGAGGCTCTGAGTGTTCCATCGCCTTTTCTTAGGCAGGTCTGAAAACTTCCGTAGAGGTCCAATTAGACTTCTAATCAGATTAAATTATAGTGGCTGAGTGTTGAACCAAAAAGATCAGTTTTTATTTTTTGTGTCACTTTACTTTCTATGAAGATATACCAAGGCGAATTAGTGCTAGTGCTTAGAATACTCATGTGTTTGATATTTGTCTGTGCATAGGAAGTTTATTATGAGAGTCTAGGGTGGCAACGACATGCAATGAAAAACTCACCCGGAGGGAATCAACACCATCTTTCGTCCAGAAATCTAACAAGGATTTCTTATGGCGATACTCTCCTTAAAGCGCTCGCCTCCACATTAAAGGAACGTTGTTAGAGAACCCAATGAAGTAACCTAATCCTAGCTCAGTTGAAGTTAGCACTCTCCGATGATCTAGGGGTGTGCCCGTTCAACGCTAACTTGCCCCATGATAGATTTGTGGGATGCGGTTGACGGAAAGAGTTGAGATTAGAGAAGAGTGAGGTCTAGCCTCTCGAAATGTAGGATTACCCCCCAGGTGCAGAGCTCCAAATATACAATACATATAAACACAAGGGAATCAAAGATATGTGTACAACACCTCAAAAAAAGGGAACATAGGTTCTGTCACTTGTAATACAAGACAAGTGGTAACCATAGCTTTTACCTTGGTATCCACCTTGATCATTCATCTGTGTGGTATACTGTATTTTTCTATAAACACTTTATATGGCTAATTTGTATAGGATAAGCATTACTAATGATGGCTACAAGATTATCAGTAAATGTATATTAAGGTTACTATTTACTTTCTTTCTCATGCCACTGAATAGTTCTGTAAACCCATTCACGACCGAGTATATTTTGAGGAAGCCATAAAATAACAATTATTTCAACTGATGCGGCTACATATAAAATCAGAGTGGGCGAGCTTACTTGAGGCTCGCCAGCGCGGCCTTGACATCCTTGATAGGAGCATGAGCCCAGAAAATGTATTAATTTCCCACCCCGAATGAAATGTCTAAGGAGAGAAACTTTTACAATCAGCAGCCCTCATGATCAGGCATGAATTGGCTAGGATATCTCCATGTCAAAACTGGTGGTTTAACCCAGAAATGCAAATATTGTAACAAAACTGTATAAATTAAAATCTCAAAAAACAAGTAAATGGAGAATATAATCAACATGTTAATAAACGGCCCTTGGAAAAATAAAATGTAAACCGAACAGCAATACATGTATTATTAGAACAATAATAAATCATTTTGACAATGCGGATATTTACCACAATGGAAGATGAACTACA